AGATTGGTGTTACCTTGGTCAAACAATCTAGGAAAACAGGGAACAAACTTATACAGTACTTTGGCTTAAAAATTATTCATAATAACAATATTAAACCTGATGTTTAAGGAACCAAATGAGATATACGTTTAAACCATGAAAACACAAGTTTGCATAGATGAATTAATGTCGATGTACAACTGACATTTAAGGGAGGCTGGAGCACCAAAGAGTGCCTTAACAATGTTGACCACCTCAACCTCCCAAGATGCATAAAAGTCACCAGCACCATGCTTCTTGTTTTCTTTAATAAGGTCATGAGCAGGAATAATTTGTGCTGTATGAAGGTGAAGTGAAAAACTGTTTCCATCAGCCTAGTCTAGATGGGTGTATACCCACCAGTACCCACTACTGGTCACCTTTAAGGCATCCATAAAGTAACCTTCACAGTTTCACTTAATCTCTAAATAGGCATGTGGTTTGAGGTGGCCTCTCTGTTTTCTGTCCTTATGCTAGCAACTATATTCTAGGTTCCATGAAAAAACTATTTCAAAGCTGTCTTTCCCTTTGGTGCTTGACTATAACTTGAGCATTTGGAATAAAATCGCATTTGTGTTTTAAATATATTCACACACCGAATGTCAAAGGGGTACTTAACAAAGAATCTGAAAGTGCCAAGGCACTGTGCAGTTTCTCTTTCAAGAGATCACTTTTCCAAATTACAAGAAAAATGACAGCATCACCGCAAATTACCTGAGCAATTTGATTTATATGTGAAAACTCCTGTACTTTTTAATTCAGCACCTTTTCAAAATATACATTGTGCTGGAATGGATTCTTCTTAGGAGAAATCACACTTCAGAGAATTCTCATTTGGGGATTTCATTTTTATATGCTATATTCCCATCTGATGATACTTCTCATCATTTACAATACTTCATAAAATGAACATTGAGTTGCTTGTATGAGGCAGGTAAGAACACAGCTATTTCTGAGAAAGGGGATTTGGCTTTCAGTTTACAGCAAGAGCTGAAGTTATAGCCTATGGGGACTTTAGAGGCGAATTCAAATTCTGAGTACAAAAATTCTGACATCAAAAGCTCTCTCACCAAATTTAACAGCTAGAAATTATTTTAGCAATTATAGCTCAAAATTCAGTGCAACAAAACGTATCCTAAGTATACGATGTGTCATAGTATGTTCTCTCAACTCTCTTCACTGTTCTCAATCCCTACTCTTTTTTATAAAGAAAACATCATTCAAACCCTGTCTTTCAATTATTCTGTTATTTATATATGAACCTCAGATATGAATAATGAGGCACTAAGTTACACAATACTCTGCCCTTATTTGAAATGCTGAAACCAGCAGAGTGCTGGCTCCCTGTTATGAAAAGTTACTCAAAAAGAGAAAAAACATTTTCTAGTTTGCTGAGAAAATACAAATGCATATTAAGTCTATTAGGAACATGTTACTAAGCAGTGTGCACATATATATTAGGGAAAGAGAATGGTTTTTAGGGCCACATATTTCCATAAATCAACATGATTACTTACATGATTGTATTAGTTTGTGGCATCAAATAGAAACGTTTAAAACCACCGTGCTGTCTTCCTTATCACAGCAAAGTTTTCCTGGTTAATTTTCTCTTAAAAGTAATAAAATAGAAACACTCTTCACATTAGCACATCTCCCACTTCAAGTAAATGTCTATTTTGTTTGGTTTTTCTCCCTTTTTTGTTAATGGTAAGCATTTTGATACATAAGGGTGTTGGTGAAATTCTTACAAATAATCTGAATGTCTTCACTGCACAATTAAAACTTTGGAACTATGTTTTACATTGTTATCATAGAAAAGGAGGACAGTCAACTCTCGGTTATTCAGAAAGTGATCACTTGTTGTGAAGGATCTGGCCAGGAAATCCTCACTTTCCTTCTACCAGTCTTTTCATTCATGACATTGTTTATCGCGAGGTTGACGGACAACTTGAAATAAAATGATCAGTGTTACAGGTCAGTCACAGGCCAGTAGGAGAGGAGGTCCAAAGCTCCTGATGACAAGGATGCTTGGAAATCATCTGTGAATGTTACATCTAGATGGAGAGTTGACTGTTGTTCACATATAGGAAGTAAAGTATACTGACCTTGGTCAGAGTCAAACTAATTTAAGGCAATACTGCTCCTCACAGACATTGCTGGCATAAAGTGCTGGTCTCATCAGAAAAGTGACTCTGTAGTAGCGAGATTTTCCCAGTTTACCCTTTCTTTTTTGACTTCTCTAAGATTAAATTTCACCATTTCTAATGACAGCTGTTAATGCCAGGAGCAACAACAGCCTCTGACTCTTCCTCAATAGTCTTACATATACTATAAACAAGATTCTTCCACTAAGTATTTGGATAGCATCGTGCCCCATACAGCATTAACAGGACAGTCTCTAGTTAGCTTCTACCTGCCCATATTAACTACTATGGGCTAAGAAAAAAGTACTAACAGTAAGATAAGCAGATATGGCTTTAAGACCCACAGGCACCACCAGAAATGAGGAGAAAATGGGACCACTTTAAACAGCCACTTATCTGACTATGAACAGTAAGTAACAAACAAAGTACTTTAAAAACTTTTTGTGTTGCTGAAAGATGAGGTTTTAATTTTTTTTGTAAGTGATTGTTTCTAAAAATCCCATGTTATCAGAATATGGCATACTATATACAGTGAAATCTACCTGAAGCATGTGAGTCCTTTCAATGCTAACACTCTCTACACAAATACTGTTTTCCCAAAAGGGAAAATGCCTCTGTTCTTAGTCCCTCACAAAGTGGTTTAAACAAGGGTCTCATTCCTTTATTAGGCTGAAGATCTTATAGCCAATCATCACAGTTTTCTTTAAAAAAATCACCACTGAATAATAATCTTAGTATTCCCCAAAGTGATATAAAGGCAACACATTAAAAAAAAAATCAAGGCCTTAATATGTTAACCACTAATGTGGCAAACTGAATGCACCATGTATATAGTAAATATTTCAAATTTGGCACAACATAAAATTCAGAGAAAGCTTGACAGTATTAAAATTAGTTATCAGTTAAAAGCTAATTATTTTTATACTGAAAAGTTCTGACTTTGAGGGAAAGAGATGGACAATAACGGTCAACAATGAATCATTTAGTTTGGTTTTAGGCCACAGTGAAGGGGGAAATGGGTCTGGTTCAAAATTTTCTAGGTTGAGTTCAGTAAACACAAGGCCCAACAAAACACATTTTAGAATATGGTGAACTAAATCCAAGTGGCCACTGCTATTCTAAAAGGTTTTCCTCGTAGGAGTATATATCCATATCTTTCTTTTTTACATTCGGATGTTTCTTTATTTTCAAAAGTTTTTTTGTGTGTGTGTAGCTTATTGGTATGCTGCTGGTTGTTGTAAAGTCACTTGAGAAATGGTAATTCAATAGTATACAAAATCATTTTCTAAAAATGTCAATGTTCTTTTTAAAAGCATGTGAAGCAACTATCCAGTCCCACAATAAAATATTTAAGTGTAACAGTGGTTTGAACATTGAGTCAAACTTTTTTCAAGTCAAAACATTTAACCTGACCCTTATCTAACCTCACTTCCAAGTAATGGCTTCTAAAAAGTTAAGTGGGGGAGAGAGGGTATACATGTCAAGCAGCCTTAGCATTAAGACCCCATAACAAATTGTGCTTATTTAATAATACTGGTGTCAATGGGGCCTGGCCTCCAAGGAACAAAAATATAGAAACAGAAAGGTTTCCCAAGGCCTGAAGTATTAATTTACATCACACAATTAAAGCATAATACATTGTGGGCCTAAAAACTAAAATGCATGTGTTCCAGTGCCAGGAACAAAAACAAAATAAATGCTTCCACATTTACATAAAAGTGACAAAATAAAGAGCAGAGAACACAGTGAAGAGTGTCCGGCAGTTCATTAAAATACAGTTGTTAGTTGCTTCTACAGCCTCTAGACAATTATTACATTAGTTGAATGAGAAAGAAAAAGAGGATTTAACTGGTTGAATTTGATTTCCACCTCCTTATTCGTAGGGTAGTAATTACTCTGGTACTTTTAAAAAAGTGTCTGCTTTACAAAAAAAATAAAGATAAAATATTTTAAAATTCTAATCTTTTAAAAACCTAAAAAAAGTAATCAACTTTCAATAAAGATGCTGAATTTGATCACAAGGGAAATACCACCTTTGGTCACTCACTAAGACAGCTGAAATGCTAAGATTCTGGTTAAGTGTCCTGACATTTTTTTGAATGAAGTATTTCCAGTTAACACTTTATAATATAAATATGAATGAATAAAGTACACAAGAGACAAGAAAAATGTAGACTTTTGAAAGTAAAACTGATCATTGTATGAGATAGAAAAATAAACATTTATAAAATAAAAATATGGCAAAGGATGTTGCCCATTTGCCTAATTATCAAATAAAAATAAACTGTGTTTTTTCTTTAAAGTTACCATAAAAAAACCTTTTAAGAAGATGAAGTAAAATCACAGGGCAGATAAAGAAAAATATAGCATTATTATAAGTCAATAAGGCCTAAGCTTTGGATACTGAAACCACGATCTGAAATTTGACTTAAGGCCAGGACCCCCACTTTGTCTCCCCTTCCCTAGTTAATGAAGACTTTCCTTTATTTATTTCATTATAGCTATATAAAATCTTACTATTTTTCGTTTCCTCCATTTCTCCAAAATGACTACATCTCTCAGGAATGTATACTATCTTTCTAGATTACTATTTGGCCAAGTTCTTTCTCAAAATTAGAGATCCAAATCCACTTTGAGAAACTGTTCTAAATAGCTTCCTGAATATTGCCCAACATTAAAGACTGTCTGAAAGATAAGGCAAATGGAAGGCAATTCCCAGTGGCGGGAAAAATTACAACTTTTTCTCTAGTCACCTGTATGTTTCTTTCCTAAACAAACACAATACTGAAATGCCAAAAAATTCAGATTCACACAATTAAAAACAATAGCAAGTCAAGCTGAAGAGACAGATTATACATAGCTTGTCATTTATATGAACTAAGTAATATGGGAAAATAAATATTTTCACAAGGTTAGCAGCTACACAACGACTATAAACTTCTTGATGAGGGAACTTAGAGGTCTTGGTCAAAGAAATACAATCCTTACTAACAAATGTTTAAAACCAAATACTTGGATAAAGAACGATTTATCGAATTTATCTTCATGTTGATCTAATAATAGACAGATAAACAAAATATTGAGAGCTTGCCAGCAAATATTACTATGACCCTAAGAGAAAAACTCAATCTACAACCAAAGAAACTGATGGCCTAACCAATTATGCAATTATCTCAAATTCCATTCATAGCATAAAACAAGAGAAGGGATACAAAGTGTTTCATTAATCTGAGTTAAATTTCAGAGAATTAGACTTTTGCCAGTAAATACTAATAAATGGTCCATTGCCCAGATATTTCAGAAAGCCTTGCTACTGAGGAGGTAAAAGCAGGGTAAAGAATGACATCTAGGTCAATTTTCCTAGGACAGCTTAGAAGGACATGAAAAACTTCTAGTCTAGGTAGTGAGAATAACTATTTCAATTGTTCCAGATCTTTTAAAATACTTTATGGTTGTGTTTTTTTTTTCTTCTCCTGAAGAGTACAAAAAGCAAAGACTGTCCTTCAAAATATATTACACTAATGCACCAAAATAAAGCTACTTCTGACATTCTTTTATTCTGCATTGCATCCAAACATGGTTTTATTTTGCTCATTCATCTCCATAAAATTCAAATTGCTAAAGGCCTAGTTTCGAGCTACCAATAGTCCATACCTAACAAAATGTCATTTTATAGTGCTCTTAGATACTATAATTCCAGGAAGTATATGCAGCATAGAGGTGGCCAATATTCAGAAGCTACATTTTCTTATACTGCCCAAGTGATCATGAATAACCAAAACATCTGAAATGAATTAAAATTATTCATGGTCAGAAAAATACTTGAATGCAAACATAGCCGAAAAAAATGAGTGTGGAATGCATTCTGTATCATCCAGTAATATTTGCTATAGTGAGTCCGTTTTCAAGGCAGATTCCTAGGTTTTTACTGCTTGTAATGAAAACCTGGAGAGGGGAAGAAAAAAGGAAACACAATTAAGAAAAAAATCTTTGAAACTCTGACAGCTTTTCACTCCATCCGGGCAAAATAATTTATCTGTATTTCTATGCATTTCAAGTGGTTCCTACTTTTTCTATTCTTGATTGCAAAATATTTATATACAGAATAAATGTGTTATTTATTTACTTACTTATTACTGGTTTATTATAAGACATACAACTCAGTAACAGTGAAACAGAGATGCACAGGGCACGATACAAGAGCACTTGATTATATTCACCAACACAATGTGTCATTTTAATATTATGCACCAAATGTACATCAAGGACAGTAAGGTACCCTCGCCCTCCAAAAAAAAAAGTGATGCATGTATACTTTGAGAAAGAAAAACATGAGCTACTCCTCCAGTTAAATCACAGATGGTGAAAATTGTGGGGTGGGCGGTTTCAATTAAAGACATTTATGATGCCCAACTAACCTCATATTTTAAGTGATGCCTTTTGTCTTATTCTCAATATTAAATAAATGTCCAATACTGCTTTTTAAAAAATGTAAATGCTGACTCCTCACCTAGAGATTCTAATTTAAAAGGCGAAATATTTATACAATCTGAAGAGAAACCAGAGTTTCACCATTGCACAGGTGACATTCCAATTTAATTAGTAGAGTGTCACTTGTGCAATGGCATTTTTTAATGACAGCAGAAAAGATAATTTAAAGAAATTTGGGGAGACTGCCATAATATTTGAAAATGAATAATAAAAATATCACTGAAGAAATTTTCAAAGACCATAACAAGTAAACTCTGTCAATTAATAAGACCTAATAGATTTGTAAAATCTATTGTAATCTGCAAACTTTTCACATATTTAATTTCAAATGATCCTGACAACTCTTATGACACTTTCTAGAGTACTTTCCATTTTGTAGATAATTAATATAAGAAACTACTTTTTCATTACTTCATTTTAAAACTCTCATAAAATACACGTAAGTGAATGCATACATGTCTTTGGAAGAACAAATATACCCACCTACTCTTTCCATTCCAAAGGTTTGGTCCCATTCAGATATTCATATTCTTTCCTGATTTTTTCCTGCTCAATTTTTCTTTATGTAAAAGATTTGTGTGGGAAGTGTGCATTCATATTTTAAATCTAATTAATAATGTCCCGGGCAGCTGGGAAATAAGAGCCACTAAAGACAAGTAGTCCTGATCTAAACAGAGGTCACAATTACCCTTTAAGCTGATAAAATCCTTATGAAATCCCTTCAGAGGAAAATGCAAATATACAGAAAATCTTGCATGCAATTTAAGGTACTTTGTTTTCTGTTTTTTGTCTTGTTTTTTTTTTAATAAATGAAGAATCCTATAACCTTTGCTGAGAGGAAGAAAATTTATTTTTCCACTTTGTACAGAATTCTATTTTTCTACATAACATGAGGCTTATAAAAAACGATTCTAATCTTGACCATATATACTCTACTCACCTTTATGAGAGGTCTCTGATTTTGAGAAATGACGTGTGGAACTCTGCTGATTTGTGAAATGAGTGTAATCCAAATCTTCAGTATCTGTCATGGTAGGTGGTGGTGGCCTAAAAGGAAGTCAGAATTTAAAGAGATATTCTACGTGATGTTTACTACAATTACACCTCTTACTGGATTGCATGGTTTAAAAAAATCTGTAGAAATGAAAAGCCAAAATGCTTTAGAATTTATATTTTAGTTCCTAGACAGTTGTATGACCTTGAATAAACTATTTTATCTTACTGTTCCTTTGTTTTGATGCATGTAATTTAGTAAGTATTTTCTCAACTAATATGTATGAGGGACTGTGCTACATAAACAAAGATTAATGAAATGTGACCACTGCCATTAATAAGAAATATATTTTGTCATGGTAGGTTTCACCAAGAAAAAAAGAACAGAAAATAAGAGAGTAATAAAGTTAAGGAAGGAAGCAAAGAAAAAAAGGGAGGAAGGGTGAGCAACCGACAAGAAGGGAAAGGACCGACAAACAAAACAGTTCATGAGCAAAGTTCCTTTATCCACTAGGTGGCAAAGTAGATCTTGATATATTTGCAACTTACTATGTAATACATTGCTACTTTTTATGTCAAAGAAAACAAAATGTTAAATTAGGACAATTTTGCTACCCTAAACTTTTTGTTATATTAATTTATTAATACAAATGTTTGTAAACATTTGGCATTGGAGATAAAGAGTATTTGTTCTTTAGAACAAATGTTTGTGAACATTTGGAATTGGAGATACACCTCTCACTCTTTTTGTTGTTGCTCCCCAAAGATGCATTAAAATTTTGCACTAGAGGACAGAATCAAATGAAGTTATGATTTATCAAATATATAACTACATTGTATGGCATTTTGTTCAACTATACATAAAATCTAGACGGCATAAGAATTCTGAGGTTTGTAAAGTTATAATGAGTCTGATATAAAGGGTTCTGTCACATAAAACTAAAATCAAGTGTTTTCAAATTTCTTACCCTCTCCCCAAGCAGTAAGTCTCTCCCTGGGTCAGCATGGGATGTAAGCTTATGTATATATTGGGGAATGTGCTACGGGTTCTATATAGATAATCTCAACTTTCAGGACAAATCTGCATGGTAGTTATCATATATATATATGGTTAGATGACATAAGTCCAATTTCATACAGTGGTTAAGTGGCAGAGTCAGGCCTCAAACTCAACTGTACTTCAAAACCAGTGTTTAACTACTCGGTTATACTATGCTACATAGATGTATTAACAGGAATAGCAGCATCTGTATGCAAGTCATATATATATACATACACACACATACATATATATATGTACACATCTGTATTTCATATTATTTTCAGATGTATACTTTCATATGCTACCTGTATCTTATATTTCCTTTTTTTTTTTTTTTTTTGAGTCAGAGTTTCACTCTGTTGCCCAGGTTAAAGTGCAATTGCACACTCACAGTCACCACAGATTCGACCTGTCAGGCTCAAGAGTTCCTTCCACCTCAGCCTTTCAAGAGCTAGAACTACAGGTGCATGTCACCACACCCGGATAATTTTTTGATTTACTGTGAGACAAGGTCTCACCAAGTTGCCTAGGCCGGTCTCAGGGCTCAGGTAATTCTCTCACCTAAGCCTCCCCCTCCCAAAGTGCTGGGATTAAAGGCGTGAACCACCACGCTTGGCTGTATCTTATACTTTCAAATACCATTTGATAATACATGATATTTTTATTAGGCATGCATATTTTATGTTTATGTGTTTGATATATGCATATAATTGATGTTAGTTTTTTATAAGTAATGAAGTATTTTTGTTTTCTTTAAACCACTGATTTATAAATATCAGATACTAAATGAAGCATTTTTCTTTCATTACCTGACATTTATAACACTTATCTTTAAAAGTAATATAAGAATTGACAGAAAGAGTTGAGACAAATCAGTTTAAGTTCTTTAATCCTGAAGTCATACTGATCCGTCTCAACTGGTGGCTAAACATACAGGTGGCTAAAATAGTGACTCAGTCTAAGCAAACAGGGTTGGTAATCAAGATTGCAGAGTCTATTCATTACTCTTTTATTAGACTCACTATGCAATCAAAAACAGAAAGACAAGAGCTGCATGGGACTCACAAAATGACTCTATGATTATTGCTTCACCATCAGCTCATCAACAAGAAACAGGATGCTAAAGTTATGAAACAGCACAGGACCCAGTAAAGTCTCTAGGATCTCCACGTGAAAATACAGTGTATAAGTCAATCTAGAATGCCTTTGGTTGTCTTGGGATGCTGTTCTGTTCGATTTCTAGTTACACAGAGAACAAATTTTGGCTTCTGCTGTCCAGAGTCCTACCAAATTATTTTGTTTCAAAGTTAAGGGTATTTGTATCCAAAGCTAGAAAAATCTTATATAAACCAATAGTTTCATTCACAGTTTGTGTTATACTAGAATTACCTGTTTCCTGTTGTTCTCATGAAATAATTTACATCTTTAAGTCAGTGACACAGCTAAATATCCTTCAGAATTCACTTCAAAATTAACTCTTTCGAGAAACCTTCCAGGACGCTCAAATCAGGTTGTCTCCTTATGCTCTTCTAACATCCTGTACTTTTCATCCATACCACGACAATCATAATAGTTATTAGGATAATTATTTGTTTAGATTGGAAACTTCATGAGAACATGAAAGTTTATTCTTGTTGATTGCTGCTTATCCCAGTTCTGAGCAATTACTAGGGCACTTGATAAATTAGTGATAAATGAATAGTAAGTGGAGGTAAAGGCATTTCATATTCACTAAAATGCATTAGGAACTAAAAGGGATTTATAAAATCTTTTTTTCCTAAGGAAAAAATGCAAGTAAAATACCAAGTAGTATTACCAGTATAAAATCCTGTTATCAAAACAATTTAGAACTGGGGTTGAGACTTCTTCCAATTGCAAAGAGAATTAATTGTTAACTGGTTCTCTGTCACCTAAAGAGAGTAGAAAATTTTATAATGGACAAAGATATTGAATTTTGACCATGAATGTTACAAGCTTTACATGAGAATTTGTTTCTCCTCTATTACTACGCTAAAGTAATAAACATCTTGACCTAGAAGGTCCATGTTTTTCAGTCCTTAAAAACCACCTCTTTCTGTACGGATACCTAGCTAGACTTTTCTACCTGATTACATGTAAAAGAGGAAACTGAGTCTCTAAGCAAAAAAGCATACATTTTAATGTTAGTTGGACAAGATATCTACATATCCAAAATATACAGGCTTTAATTTTTAACTATGAAAATACAGGCTTCATAAAATTCATACTCATTTTTGTTTTTACATTAGATGTATGTGTGTATGATCTTTCTGTAAACAATATTTAACCACAAATTTTCCTCTGAGGTCAAAATAGATTTCTATTCTTCTGCCATAAACCACTGTTTACTACGAGATTATTATTAACATGGGATCATTTGGTTATTTATTTTTTAAATATGCCAAATATTTCTAAAGTACCTATAACATTCCAGAAAATTTTCATACTTTAATAAACCTTTTTAAACAGCTATCCCCAAGACCGTCCCATCATATCTGCTGTCAAAATTATTAGTATATTAAAGAAACCAAGGACTTTGAAGACCGCACAATAACCCTAAGAACGATTTGAATTCATCTGACTAAAAAAAGAATAATCCAGACATATCTAAGGAGGACAGATTAGCTGCTTCTTAGTTAACTTAGGTACTGTGAGGATGTACTAGCCATATAGTTCTAAAATGTATCTGAAAAAATGTTTGGTATGTATATAACCAAAAGCTATAAGAGGTATACATTTTATATAATTAGAATATACTATTATTGTCCTCAAACCAATACACACTTGATATAATTTTCTGAAGAGTATTTATCTTCTGAAATTGCGTGAGTTTTTTTTTTTAAGAAAAGGATAGCTTTTTGCGGACACTAAATATATTCACTTGATGGAAACAAATCTAATAGCTTAAGTGTCGGCAATGAGTGGCAACAAGAGAGTATATTTTTTCAGTGCAATGAAATTTATGGTCTAAGAAAGATTAAGTATTATTAATCAGAACTAAAATTCAGGTTTTAATAATTCAAGATGTTCGATTTCATGTTAGCTTACCTTTTTTTGCCTTTTTTTTCAAATGTTTTCTCTTCATATTCCAATATTTTCTTTTGAAAAACAACAAAATAAAGTCGAAAACAAGTTGCTCCCAAGAGACTTAAATGTTGGCACCTTGAGACAACAGATGCTCCCATAACTATGACCTACAACTGCTTGAGAGAAGTCACAGTCACCACTAAATCTAGTAGGATTTAGATCGTGTGCAATGACTCATATTTGCCTAGGACATTGAAACTGAGACAGAAATGAGTTTGGGCATGTGTAAATGTCATGCACACACCAGTTGTGACCATGAAATCCAGCAAAACAGTTAGAGCCTCAGATTTTATTTTAGAAAATGGTTGCTGTCATCCCTTCTGACCTGAAAGTATAAATTCAGTGAATACCAAGATAAGAACTGGTCCTAACAAAAAGCACATCCTTCCTTATACATCATAGCTTTTGCAAAATTCCCCTAATTTGACTTGGACAATCCAATTTTTAAGGCTGAAACTAAATTTTGAGAATAACCCTGCATTACTTGACACCACCTCGTAATTGCAGAGTTTTCGATCTTCTCTCCAAAGAACAAACATTCCTCTCAAATAACGGGCCTTTCCTTACCCCAAAGTCAATGTTCTCACTCTCCTTTGCAGGCATCATCTTACCGTGCTGGTCGGTCATTCTTAGAACGATGAGGTTCGTCACTCTCTTTTGACTTTAAATGTGCCGATTTGGCTGTTTTGGGCTATGGACAAAAAAACAAACAAACAAAAACAACAACAAATACACAGAATACAGAAACATTAAACAAAGAAAGAAAAGATTTGACTTAGAAAATAATATATATCACATGCCAAGCTCCCTTTTAGTAGTAGTTTCAGGTTACCAATATTTAGCTGAGTAATATAAAGTATTTTTATATATGGCCACTCAGATGTAAAGAAATCATAGCCACTAAGGCTGTCAGAGCAGCCAGATGGGTGGAATATCCTCACATGAACATGCTGCCTCACATGAGTGTGTTAGGCTGCCAGTTATTAACATAACAGTTGCACAGCAACTGACGATATGCTGGACACCCAGAGTCCATGGAATGTGCTCTCAAACTTATTTCTACACGCCTGAATTAGGGCTGATGATTTTCCAGTAAGCAAACTAAGGCACATTCAAGTCAACTTTTTGAGGAGAGGACTCGTACCCAATACCAGTTATAGAATTTGAGTATCACAGGAGTCATGATACTTGCTATAAATGTGGTCATTGCCCTCTCAGCTTCCTGATTTAATATCCTTACAGTACCATCCTTTTCCTGGTTCACAAAATCTGAGAAACTGCTGGGCAATTATTTATGGCTTAATTTATTTAACAGTGCTATTTCAGACTCCTTAACTAAAGTGAAACATGTTAGAAAAAAATCCTGAATTACTAAGTAAAAGAGGAAGCTAAATATACAGAATTAACATGAAAATAATATTTTCATTTTTTTAGACTAACAGGATAAATGAGCAATAGAAAAGAATAGAGCAATACTATTATTAGCATGGCTCTGTCTTCTCTTTCTTCACAACCATTTCTTAGAATATAAGGTAGGACCAGAAACCCAAAGGAGAAATTTGTTCCAGAAAGAACTGTGCTAAAAACATCAATTGTAGCCGGGCTCGGTGGCTCAGCCTGTAATCCCGCACCTTTGGGAGGCTGAGGTGAGTGGATTGCCTGAGCCCACAGGTTCGAGACCCGCCCAGGCAGCGAGACCTCATCTCTACAATAAATCAAAAAATCAGCCGGGTGTGGTAGCGCATGCCTGTAATTCCGGCTACTTGGAAGGCTGAGGTGGAAGGATCGCCGGAGCCCAGCAGGTCGAGGCTGCGGTGGCCGGGAGCGGCCACTGCACTCCAGTTTGGGCGACAGAGTGAGACTCCAACTCAAAAAATAAAAATAAAAAACATCAATTGTACCATGAATACACACCTTAGGTTGTATCTTTCCAAGCCTCATACAAACTCCCTCCCTAGAAACTCTTTACTACATGAATTTTCTCCCTCTTCCTCTGCTCTTAACCCACTCAGCTTGGCCTTCTATTTGTTAGCTGTCTACAATTTGTCTTCCTCTCTACATTTATCAGAGAAAAATATCTTTGTCTTTCCATGCAGGTCCAAAGTGGTGCCTTGTGCACAGTCACTGCTAAGTAAGACTGCTAAACCGAACTTGGAATTACCACATATAACACAATCAAATATAGTTTATTTTATCAACTATTTATGATTAATGAGGAGAAAAATAACAGTCCAAACTCATGCCAGATAGTTCCTGCACTGGGACATAAGAATGATTGTTGCTGACAAGTATACAGACCTGTCAGTCTGCCATAGACTAAGCTACGTCCAAGGATAGAGAAACAGGCACAAGACAGGGATAAAGGATAATGCAAGCAATAAGAAAGTAGACAGAGGAAGAGAAGGCTGCTGTGGAAAATTTGAAAACATGAAAATGCTACTTTCTCCTACAATCTAAATACTATACATGAAAACTAAGATCATTCCTGAGAAGTACTTGCATTTCAGTTGGTCTTAAAGTAAACAATAAGTTTTCAATAATTTTTACATAGTAACAATTTACATAGCTACTCTCAAAATTCAATGACTTTTCATAGTGATGCAACTTCTACAAATCACATTCAGAGATGCAATACAAATTATTTGTATATTCCAAATATATTTGCAGAGCTTACCCTAAAAGCACAATTCCCTTTTCATTTTCTAATTTTATTTCTAATTGAAAAGCAAAACAAAAAGCACAGCCTACCTTCCACTCGGGGTCATGTTTTCTTTTTTCCAAAGATGATTTCTCCCGTTCCCTGACCTTCTTGTAAGCTTTCTTTTCTTCTGCCATTAGAAGTCGAGCAATTTCCTAAAGAAAATTCAGTCAATATGATTAGCTAATGAGTTGCAGGTAGAAAACTACTGGCTACACTTATTAACATGAACTTACTTCATCCTGGGCTACTTGAGCTGCTCTCATGTCTACCTGGGTAGCCTGTGATATAGAAAACACAAAAAATAATAATTTAATTGGAATCCATGTTGTTAATTTAAAAAATCTTATGTGAAACAAACTGGTATTTGAAACTAGTTGCAACATTCCTGAAGTTGATAATCAGCTAGCATACTTTCACCAGCTAGAGCAGGAGCTTTTTTCTTTTTTTCAAGTTAGTCTCACTTTGTTGCACAAGCTAGAGTACAGTGGCATGCTCAGGAGATCCTTCCGCTTCGATCTTCCAAGTAGCCAGAACTACAGGAGCACACTACACCAAGCCTGGCTAATTTTTCTGTAGAGATGAGGTCTTGCCAAGTTGCCCAGGCTGGTCTTGAACCCATGGGCTCGGGCAATCCTCTCACCTCAGTCTCCCAAAGTACTAGGATTACAGGCTTGAGTCATCGCACTCGGCCTATCAGGGGCACTTTCAATTAAATTCTACAGCATAGTCTTAGAGAATTATCACAACTTAATCATGGAAAGTGGATATGGAGTTCTGCTGTTAATGCTTACTCACTAAGTAAGACTGGATACTCTATCTCCATTGCCTTGATTTTTCTACCCATAAAAAAAGCTATCAGACCAGGCCATATTTCCCAGTTTTGGCCCCCTCCCCTGCCTTGGGGAGGTGAATCTCCTCTCCCTCTCTCTTTAATTTACTTTCTAAATAAACTATATTTGCTAATCTAAAAAAAAAAAAAAAGGTATCAGTTTCTCATCTGATGGAGGACTGAAATACCTACTACATTCATATAATTCCAAGATTGATTCAATTCACACACACACACACACACACACACACACACACAAACCCTACTGATTCACCTGAACTTTTGCTTTAAAATGTGCTCACCAAAAGTTCTTCTTCTTGCAGTTTCCTGGCAATCTCAGCATCATACCATTCCTGGTCCCTGTGGGTCACTCGTGATGGAGTAGAAACAGCTTCTTTCACCACTCTTGGCTTCACTCCTAAAATAAACTTAATGTAATAAGGCAATGGAAAATGTTCTCTGAAAATTTAAGATAAATAAGTTTTCCTTCAGTATCTAACACTGGAAATACTGCCTCCACTTCAGAACTCAGTATGAGATACATTTGAAATTATTTTTTGTCCTAGGCATGGAGGTGACAATGCACATAATCCATACATTTAAACAGTTATCCACCCAAACCTGCCAGGTAAAAATTCTTCTCTCACATAGTTTCTTTGACAGCAAAAAATCACGTAAGGAACTGCAAGTAAGGTCATGGCAAAAACAGCAAGTGAAAAAAAGTCACTGAAATAACTTAGAGAACAGGGGCTAACATGAGAAAACATTGCACAAGCCCAAATCGAGGGGTAGTCTACAAATAAGTGGTGCGGAGGCTTCAAAATCATCAAGGTTCTAAAAGACAAAGAAAGGCTGAGGAACTGAGAAACTGACCCAGATTAAAGAAAAGTAAGGGAGCATAACAACTAAATAGAGTGTAGGATCTAGGATGGCATTCTGAATCAGGAAAAAAAACCAACACACACACACACACACACACACACACACACACACACACACACACACACACACAAACTGAGAGCAGGAAAATCGGCAAACTTCAAATAGAAGTCAGTATTGTATTAATGTTATTTCCTTCCTTTCATAGTATAATTATGGTTTTATAAGATGTTAACATTGGAAGGATCGCCGGAGCCCAGCAGGTCGTGGCTGCGGTGGCAGGGAGCGGCCACTGCACTCCAGTCTGGGCAACAGAGACTCCAACTCAAAAAAAAAAAAAAGCTTGCTGAAGAATATATAGGAATTCTCCTTATATTAATAACTTTTTTCTAGGTCTAAAATTATTTCAAAATAAAATGTTAAAAAATAAAAATACAAAAGAGGCTAACCTGTCAAGACTGGAGGATATGAAAAATTTTCTTCTAGATAGCTCTTTAGACACAGAAGATAGCCTTAGTTAGAGAGTAAATTACTAAAACACCATAGTTGGCCTAAAAGCACCCATCAATTAAGAAAATGTTCAACACTCAGAAGCCCTTAATATCAATCATTATTTCAGCCTGTATACCTTATTTTAGAGGGAACAGAAACAACTTTATCTGTGATAATACCTATTAGCCAAGTAGTGCGCCTGTCATAGCTTCTCCTCTGATGGTAAACAAACCCACTTACTTTAGATCTTTCCTATAGCTTTTGATCAGTTTAATGGCACTGTTAAGTTTTAGGGAAGATAAAACATAAAGGAAATACTGAAAGCACAATGACTGCAGATTCTATTTCTATTTATTCCTATAAAGCAATTTTGACTTTTCAATTTTACTCAATAATATGCATGTATTATATTCAGAATTAAAAAAAAATCTGAATGCAGTGAACAAGATTATCTGAAACAGTGACTTTCAGTAAATGGACTACTGGAAGAGAAAGAAAATGTAAACCTGATTGTTTATCTCTTTATACTAGTAGTGGTCAACCAGGGTTACATATTAGAATCACTTGATGGTACTTTAAAAAAATGTTAAACATATTTGCTAATTTAAGTAGCCTGGATAAGCCCTGGTCTTGGATAGGTTTGTTGGTTTGTTTTAAGTCTTTCCAGTTGATTCTTGTTTGCAATTTGCATTGGAACCATTAGTTTAGTGTACTATGTCCATTAAAATCACTGTAAATTAAAATTATTTTTATCAAAATGCCTCACCACACTTGAGTCACTTGATATTAAAAAAAGAAAGAAGGAAAAGAAAAGAAATTGCAACTAAATACTGGGCAAATGAAGAGAATTTAAGTACTCTGTGAAACCTATCTTCATACAGCTATCAACCTAATTTCATAGTAAATTCAAAAGCCACATCTGTCTGGGTGTGGTGGCTCATGCCTATAATCCCAGCACTTTGGGAAGTGGAGACCATAGGATCACTTAAATCCAGGAGTTCGAGACCAGCCTAGGCAACACAGTGAGACTTCATCTCTACAAAAACTTAAAAAGAAAAATTAGCTGCAGTTCCATGACTTGGGAGGTTGAAGTGGGAGGATCATTTGCCAAGGTGGTTGAGGCTGGGATGAGCCATGATCATGCCACTGCATTCCAGCCTGGGAGACAGTGAGACACACACACACACACACACACACACACACACACACACACACACACACCCCCAGAGTCACATCTTTTTCACAAATAAAGACTAGTAAACCTGGTGTTCTTAGCTTCAGACCTAACAGAACTTAATTACACAGACCATTTCAAATTATATCTAAAGCTACTGAGATAATACCAGCTCTAGGGTTGAACGGAGCTGGTGTTAACAGAGAGTTCTGAGTGATGTGGGACAGAAAGAAAACAGTACCATACTGCTAAGGGTAGACCATACATAAATGGAATATTAACCTCTCAGAGTTATGGATTAACCTGGTCATAACTAGAAAGGCAAATTTCATAGAAAATAAATGAAATTACATAGGAAACTTAGGCAAGGTCAGTGGACAAAAAGATAAGCTGGTATATCATATTCCAATCTATAGAAAATTATACTTCAATGATCATTCCAAAGCCTAGTTGAGGTTGAGCGTGCCTAGCTCCTATAATTCTGCCATCCAGTGAAATGAGAGAGTAGGATGTGCTCAGGTTTCAAGACATCAAACTTTTCCCACTATTATGCCTCTCACTGTACACCACAGAAATGAATGGAAAATATTTTGTTTGAAATTTTATCAGACATATTGTTTTAAATTCTATCAGACATATCTAACTGAAAAGTCCCAATTGGTTTGACAGAGTGATAAGATTAGAACCTATCAACAAGAGTAGCATCTCTCAGTCTCTAATATTTAGGGGATAAACAGTTTCTCTAAACCTTTGATGTATCATTGGAATTTGCAAGCCTCATTAAGTAGAAAATCCTCACAGCCTGGAATACTGAATTTCTGGATGGGCAGGATGCCCAAACACTGTAGTGTTCTCTGTATATGAGTTGACAAGAGTTTTTCTAAGCATGTATAAGAAGGAATCACAGATAGTGAAATATAAGGCTGTCATTACAGATTCTACAGAGGTGTTTAAAAGTTTTTTTTAAAACAGTTAACTGAAGGTGGTAACTGGTTTCCCCATCTTGGCAGCCTAAACAAAATCTAAAAACTAGCTTTCAAAAAATTAGTTGAGTCATATTTGTAGGGGCTGGACCCCTTTTTTGTCCAGGTGTCTTCGTTATTTTTTTCTTATCCTGCAGTGTTTGTTTTTAAGGAGAACTCAAAAGAAGTTTTTAGTGATGTTTTTTAGGCCCTCAAGTTTCCTTTTTGTATTTAGTTAATTTATCATAATAGTATCTAATTAATATATTATGAATTTAGTGAAAACCCACACTATAAACATTTACTTAAAACCTTAACTATAGAATTAAGTAAAAACCTTTATGATTAATCTTTATCCTAAGTCTGTGAAAACAGTGTTATAAATCACCTACATAACTCCTAGATAAGTGTTAGAACTTATAATGAATTCATAATGAACTTACTATAAACTTGTGTTTTTAAAAAACCTTATGTCTAAACACTAAACTGTATAATCCTAAATCAAATAAGGAGTGAATATACTTATATCATTTATTACTTAAGCAATATCTAGTAACTTATAACCAAGTGAAAGAAAGCATTCTTGATGTGCTTCAGAGTTTAACCCTTGCTTATGTTAGAAAAGGCCAAATGGCATAGTGGGAAATGGAAAAATAAACCATGACAATTCCAGGTTAGCTGTGAGTACTTCACATAAACATGCCATTTTCTTCTTCCATGACTGCACAGAATTCTTTGGTGGTACCAAACAGCAAAGGTGGAAGACAGAAGGGCCCCAGCTTCCCGGGCTCACCCTGTGGCCAGGGGTCTTCGGCCCACCAGGACCCTGTCAATCAGGTGGGCCTCCACAAGGCTGGCTCCCAACACATATTTTCTTTTTCTTTTTTTTTTTTTTTTTTTTGAGTTGGAATCTCACTCTGTCGCCCAGACTGGAGTGCAGTGGCTGCTCCCAGCTACTGCAGCCTCGACCTGCTGGGCTCCAGCAATCCTTCTGCCTCAGCCTTCCGAGTAGCTGGAATTACAGGCATGTGCTACCACGCCCGGCTAATTTTTTGATTTACTGTAGAGATGAGGTCTCGCCAAGTTGCCCAGGCGGGTCTCAAACCCGTGGGCTCAGGCACTCCACTCACCTCAGCCTCCCAAAGAGCGGGATTACAGGCTGAGCCACCAAGCCTGGCTGTATTTCTTTATAAATTCTTCCTTGTCTTTTTCTGTTTATCCTCCAGTTTGAGAATATAAGAACTTCCCTAAATGCATGTAAATAAAATTTTCCCCTTAAATGAACCGTAGTAGAACAAATTTTTTTTAAAGTACTATTATTCACGATAAATTCATTCTGAGCTTGGAATAAGGTAAATGATGATGGATACTTTTTTATATCATGCAACATAATTTTGTAATATGCATAGGACACTTAGGAATATCATAGTATATTTGACTAACATTTCACAGCAGAAAGTACAGATATTTTACAGCCATGGAAGGATGGAAGTTTAACCTGTAGAAAATGGTAAGCTGTTAAAAATTTATAGTCCAATAGAGAAGTTACTCTAAAGGTTAGATTTTAGATATCATTTCCTTGTCCTATAGAAAGTAAACCAATCTTATATTTAATTTAGCATTTTTACTTCACATTTTTTACACTGATTGTATAAATGCTCTTCTGCAAATGCTCTTAACTAACAGCTCTTTGCTATTCTGCTAGTTTCTTCATTAAGTTAAAATAAAACTTTGACCTGTGCTAAAACTTTAAGAATTGTGCTTTTATGACAGAAAGAATAGATACCAGTACCCAGCAATTATATGTAATGTAATTCTGTGAACTATTCCAGGGGGTGGAAAAATTCAGCTGAATAAAAAATAACAGACACTAAGCAGCTCACCTTGTAGCCATTTTAATATCTGCCTAGCAACATTGTTTTTTAAATCCTTGTGCTGGCAAAATAGAATAAAACATTTGCAACTCTAGTAGTGGAGCCTGTGAGTCAGTGTTTAGTTTCATGCCTCCCAAGCCTGTTTAAAATACCCTGGAGCATAACTAAAAGCATAAAGTTTAACCAGCCCTCAGAATTCACTTACAATGTCAGATTCACCAAATCAGAAATGCAGAGGTCAGTGTAATCACCATTCTTCCCTCATACTCCTCCACATCTCAAACTCCAAAATCTCTTTCTGAACCTGGATATAGTAAAACTTTCATAAACCTACTCCAAATAGCTTACAGCTTATATCACTCTCTCCTCTCCTTTTCCACAGCTCTTTGTTCATGTCTCCCTAACCAAGTGTATTTAATTTTAAGTGTTTACATATCCATCCTTTTGGCTTGAATATTAACCCTCTGAGGCTCAGTTCTATGCATAAAACCTAAGGAAATAATGCTTATAGTAAATACTTTATATGGCTTGCTGAACTGAATTTTAATTTTCTTTAAAACCAAGGCCTTTAATAAGAGAGACTATGATAGGAAAAATCAACTGAGTCAACCTGAATCTTCAACCTAGAAACCAGTTTCCAGAATACAAGTAGAGCTCGACTGGGCCACAACAAAGAAGAAAAAAGAACAGGTGCCTCTTTGGTACTCCTTTCCCAGCAACTCTTCCATCTCTGTAAAACTTCAGCAAAAGTAAAAAGGAATCAGGAATATTAATATGGTCTACTATAATACCAGATAGTGTGGTACCATGACTTCAAGTGCTACCACCACATGGAAAAATTCACCTTAGTAGTTTCTAGAAAACAGAGAAAGTCATTACTGTGTCAATGTTGGATTTCAGAGTTAAGTAACAAGGATGCCAGAAGTTTAAGGTTTACCTCAAATATTCACCTCATTCTTATACAGGTGCCAAGAACTTACCTGTATTGGCACTTTAGAACACCAGCTATCGAGTTAGAGGTGGAGAAAGTTAGAGCATAATAAATAACTCATGGAATGATTTTTAAACTTTAAGTTTATAAGTATCACCTCCAGGTATAAAACATGCCCAAATTGCCAGGCCTCACTCCAGAGATGATAATATATGTAAAACTCAGAAATATGCATTTTTAGTACACAGCTTATTACCAAGAAAATGGACAAAGGTTCATTATTTAAAAAACATTGTCTTGAAAGGTTGCCAATTCAACCCCTCATTTTTACAAATGATACATATACGGTCTAAAAAATCTAGTACTTCCAGCTCTACTGGCCTTTCAGTTAGGTAAATACTATAAAGGCAGTATTATCACATCTTCTGAGTTCACTGAAGTAAAACCAGAAACTCAGGTGCTTTGACTGGGTATCGAAATCTCTGATATATGGTCTTGGCAAATGAAGAACTGTTTCTGGGATGGGCACCTCCAATGAAACCTGGGCCTAGAAGAATCTGCCAAGGAATCAGTGCATTCTCAAAGAAGGAAAAAAGGTACAAATATTTTCCTGTTTTCTACAAACCCGAGATTAATTATATATCCTTTATAATACTAGCTCTAGGATTTCACAGCAATGAGCACAAACTGGAAAGAAAGAAAAGTTGCTTATTAAATACACTGGTTTGTTTGGACTTCCAATGAAACTGTCCTCTATTACCTGGATCATGGAGGTTGAGCTGCTCCTCACTCTCTGAGAAGGGAGGAGTCCTGGGCCTGTGCTTCCTTTCTTTGTGCTCACCTTGCCCATGGTCCCTCCCATACACAGCTTCCTTGCAATGAAGCCCTGCTTTCTGTGAGGACTTGGCTGAAAGTCTGTCTTGATGGTGAAACTGTTTTTCCAGATTCCGAGTATGATGGCTACTCTTTGCCTTCCAGTCATCAAATTCAGTGCTCAGAAACACCTCACCACTGATCTTGGGTAGTGGAGGCCTCCGAAGCCTCTCCTGAGCAGCCTGTTTCCTTTCATGCTGCTCACTGTTAATTTGGGGATCATCCCTCACTTTGCCCCAGCTAGAGGATGACAAAGATCTCTTTGATGAACAATGCTCTTCCAAGTTCTCCAGCGGATGTTTTGGTTTCTCCTTCCTCTGCTTCACAGTCTTTCCATCACTTTGGAGTTTACAAGTCCGCGAGAATCCAGAACCCAATTCCCTGGCCCTCCTTGACCTTGGCTGGTCTGAGTGGAGGTGAAGGGATGTGAAAAATAAAAATGCAGGTTAACTTAATGAGAGTATAAACTCATTACACAGGGGAGAGTCCATGCCCAAGTTTAACTTACTTTAAAAAAGGAGAAAACTGTTTTTCAACTTAACAAATTGAGAAGAGGGATGACCTTTTACTAAAAGGTCCATGCATACATGAAGGATTTGGGGTATATAGCCAAAAAGGTTAAACCCTAAAATTAAGAAAAATAACTTAAATCTGAAGGAAGAACTTGATCATGATAAGGCAGAATTATCAGAGTACTTTAATATTTGCCAATAACAAAAACAATAGCCATCAAACATTAAATTTGACTTATAAAACCAATTTGAAACTAATATAAAGTAAAAAATAGATTTGTAAAACAGAAAAAAAATTAAACTTTGTGATTTCAGTCAGACGCTTCCAAATATTCTTATTGGATATGTCAATGAAGCTGTATCACAATGTTGTTAGTTCTGCTTAGTTCAGAAAAATAATCCAAAGACTTCGTATTACACTATCCACCCCCTTTATGAGGTCAAAGCAAAAGTTACCAGCACTTCAGAGAATAGTCCTTTATTATAGTCAATGTGGAAAATGATGGAGTAGAGGAAAATTTTAAGTGAATGAATGACCTTGTTATCATTGAATATTCCTTCTCAAGCTTAGTGGAAGCTTGGAGGACAAAAAAAAATTGTTAAAGGGCTTAATGGAATATATTTTTAAAAGTTACTTTTTAAATACATTTCAAAAATCTTTAGGACAGTATATTCTTTGTATAAAAATATAGTATGTGAGAAATAGGTAAATCCCCAAATTTAACACAGACTTCAAAAACAGTACATAGCTGGTGCTCTTATCAGATATCATTCAGGCACAAGCATACTGTGAAAAAAAGGCAGCAAACTGCAAAAATACGCTGATTTAATATTTTCTAAAATTTTCACCACATTTTAGAAATAATATCAAGAAATCCTCATTCTAGGGAAAATTGTTAAGATAGCTAAGATTCTCTGCTGGAATTAACCACTTGCTGAATTGCATTTGAAACAGCTACCGTAATTTGATGAGAGGTAGAGGAAACAAAGGACTATATGCTTTCTTAGTCTTTTCTTGTTTGTTTTACTGTTTGTTTCATTTGATATTGTTAATCTAATGAAGGAATAGAGCAAGAAGGAAATATGTGCTAAATGCACCATTGATGCTATAAGTTTCTACTCAAAGACCTCAAATTGTTTCCTCGAGCTTTTGAGAAGAAAATAAAATTGCTTCAAAGATAAATCTAGATTAAAAAATTGTCTTTTCAGGAGTCTGTAAAAGTATTTATCTTCAAATTTTATGGTTATATTTTACATAAAGATCAAAAGTAACAGAGAACAATTATTCTCTGTGATTACAGAAAAAGCATCTGCTCTTTTAACCAACCTATTATTTTAAACCTATCTTGACATCTGAAAAAGAATCTATTTACTACTGCTTTACATTAATATAATACTGACCAGCTACTTAAATGATGACCATATTCAGGACACAATAGTTTTACAGTGTTAACTTTCTGCCCTTTTAAGCCCCTCAAAAACAAGAAAGGTTATGTTTTGAGATGAATTTGTGAGGCTACATTCGTCTTTTAAAAAAAAAATTCTGAGCTGGGCTCAGTGGCTCAGCCTGTAATCCCGTGCCTTTGGGAGGCTGAGGTGAGTGGATTGCCTGAGCCCGCGGGTTCAAGACCCGCCTGGGCAGGTGAGACCTCATCTCTACAATAAATCAAAAAATTAGCTGGGCATGGTAGCGCGCGCCTGTAATTCCAGCTACTTGGAAGGCTGAGGCAGAAGGATTGCCAGAGTCCAGCAGGTCGAGGCTGCGGTGGCTGGTAGCGGCCACTGCACTCCAGTCTGGGCGACAGAGTGAGACTCCAACTCAAAAAAAAAAAAAAAAATTATTTCCAAACAGTAAACTGTTATTAGTAATTTTACTTCAGGGAAAGGTGTTGCAGGAATTATTATAGAGTTGTTACTACATTCTCACAGAGTTGACTGAAAACAAAACAACAACAACAAAATATTCTCTAGTACACCAGTTGTGATAGATTTAAATCTGGGAAAGAAAAGAGAAATTCTTGTTTGAATCCTTTAAAGCCCTTTCTAGTTGAGGAATGAGACTTAGTTTCTTGAGAACAAGTTATTTGGCAAATATAATTAACTCTTTCATTGCCAATACTTATATACATGTATGTGTGTGTGTGTGTGAATACACACACACACACACATACATACACACATATACATATATATCTATAGTTCATATGTGCCTCCATGCTTATCTCTCAAAATCAGATAATCTGTTTAGTCTACAAAGTACTATATTATATACACGTATAATTGATATATACATATACGGGTATATATAAACAATAGTACTTTGAGTTTAAAAGTCCTTTGCCAAGTTGCATTATTTGATCTTCTCAACATCTATGTGAAGGATTTGTTTTCCAGATTTAAAAAAAAAAAGATTAGAGAAATTACAGTAGATAACTTCATTAAAATTACAAATATTCTAAGGAAGAGAGAGATCTTAAATCATGGTCTTATGACTCCAAAGACCATGACTTTAAAAAAAAATTCACTAATACAACTGTAATACAGGAAAATGACTCTGAAAGAAAAACATGGATTCATTAATGAACAATATATACCATATAATAGTTAGTATAAATTTGACAGATGTTTTGGGTAATTTCAAATTTGTGAAAAATCTATAAATGATCATTTTAAAAGACTGATTAAAACTTAAGTTAAATAAGAGTTGAGAAGCAATTTCTGTAATGATATATATGATTACTATGCAAATAGGGCAAAAATCAAATTATTCATAAAGATAGAGAAATGTAATTAAAGAATATCCAAGATGTGTTGGGAAAGGACCACTGCAAAGAACATAAGGACTGCTTTATAAATAAAAGCTGAATTGTAATACGGTTCTTGTGGAACTCAATTTGGTCTAACTCAAAGGTATATAAATAAGGACCACATGTTCAGCAATGTATAATCTTCCAGCAATGATCAGCTAAGGCAAAAGAAACTCCAGTATTTACACACACATGATCAGGAAGGACACTACTTCCTATTCCTCCATACTCCCTCAGTCCTCCTCCCACCCCAAAACAAGCATACATGTCACCTAAAAAAACAATGAATTGTTAACTGCCCTAGAGATACAAATCAGGATGACAGTACTCTGTTCAAAACAAACAGGTTCCAGTCTCAATTCAAATTAGCATAAGGCTTTAATGGAGATAGGCTAAAAATAAATACTTTAGAATATTTAATTATTTGCCATCCTAATGTTTTTATAGGCACAGAAGTTTAAAATAGAAACTTTTACAGATTATATGCCTCCAGAGCAAAATTAAAAACAGAAACAAATAAAAAAAACCAAAAAAAGACCACATTTTAAAGATTTTAATTGAAGCTGAAGTTAAGTAACTCCTTACCTCTGGTCCCTTGTATAGCAAAATGTAGCAATAATTTTTCTTTTTAAATGACATAATGCATAATTTCATTAGAAACAACAGCATAAAAATAGCTATCAAAAAAGAGATGAACATTTTACATATGAGGGAAAATCCATTATGTATGTAACAGAGAATCAACCTTCTTATTCAATAGGCAACAAAGCTGAGTTCTGATTATTATGGGTAAATTTAGAGCAAAAAATGTTACTGGGCAAGATTATACTCAAACTATAATAATTCTACCTTCTCCATATGAGTTGCTTTCATTCGACTCACCAAAAACAAACACATACTTACCTTTTATAATTGAATTCTAAAAAAGGAGCTGATAATTGGCTTGCAGGACCTTTTAGGATCCCTGACCTTAAGTCTTTTCTCTCTAGAAGTTGTCTTTAGGCTTTGTTTACTTGCTATCCTAAGTATGGTCTCCAAGCTAAACTGCAATAGTGATTGTAGAAACTACAGGAAATGTCTTTGACAGATCTTTGAAAAGTATTGAATGATACTTGTAAATATTCGTTTCCCAACACATTATTGAGATAAAAAAAATCATCATCACCACCATCACCACAACTGCCACCACCACACCATCACCACACTGCAAAAGCAGGTACTAGAAAAGCGAAACTCTGAGGGACTTCCCTCCCACAAAAATGGTAATCAAATAGCAAAGAAACCACCAAAAGCAAATACTGCACATTGACTCTTAAAATTTAATACTGTTGGTAATCAGCAGGTTAAGCCATTGGCCTATTTAAAAAAGAAGAAGGCATAGAAAAAAAGCTTTGTTACCCAACGGATACACGGTATATCTCCTTTATTCACACCACTTTCCTGCTTCAAACAGTACTTCCCAGACTTCCTTGAAAAATATTAAGTCCAGAGACTCATCCGCAATTTTCCACACCCACTTTAATTACTTGGAATGTAATACAGCATTCCAAGTCACTACAGCACCAAAGAGGGCATGCCAATTCTTATAAAACCACATTCAAATTTTAACAATCATAAAAATGGTTCCCATTGTCCAACTATGGAACAGATAAATTCATTAGATTCAAATAGAATCCTGACACAAATCTAAATGTACCAGTACCTGAAGATAAAATAAACATTCCCAGGTACCTAAGGTCACTTTACCAATAAAACTAAAGGGGTGTTTTATGGTTGAGTCTAAGGATAGAATAGATCATGATGTAGCAGGCATTGTTACCTCCATCTTCATAATAGTAACTATCTTCATAAGCATTGGCTCCAGAGAACTCTGGAATGTGTTTCTTTCTCTTTTTCTCTTCCTGCAACTCCTTTTCTTGCAAAAGACGAGCTATGTCCTGCAAAGAGAAGGAATAAAAATAAACACAACCAGCAACCTATCAAACTCCAGAAAGTGCAGTGTGACATTCCATGGCCAATTTTCTATGTGCTCCATCCACGGCTGCAGACTTCCTGGCATTAATTTCTTGCTATCCAAATGCCACATATGACTGCTCAACAGGAGAGGCACATGATCTAGATGAGTCAGACAGATTTATTTTTTAATGAAATTTGAATCTGATGCAATATAAACACCTTCAAACCTCAGGACTTCCTAAAGCTGGTTATATGATACATTTTTAAAAATACACATCTGTGGGCCTTTTCTCCAAGCTGATGATTCAGTAAGTCTGGATAGGAAAGGATGCAGTAATCTATAAAACTTTATAAATTATCGTTTATGATTTAAAACTCTGAAAAATAATTCTTCGGGTGACTCTGATTTAGCTTTGCATTAGTGTACCACAGTCTTAACTGAAAAAGAAAACAATCTTCTTCCTGTCCCCCACCTGTTAAATACCCAGGCAAATTTTCAGCAGTTACCATTTGCAAGGCACCATGAAGAACAGAGTGATAATTACCATTCCAACCTTGTTTCCCAAAAGATTATCATCCCTTATAAAAACAAAAGTGTTTACAAGTAACTGCACTAAGGGTTAAAATAAAAAAGGGTTAAAATGTCTATGGAAGTACAAAAGAGGTAATATTATTTTTGCTTAAAGAAACTAGTGCAAAACTTTTGCATTGTGTTAGACTTTGAACAAATAATTGAATTCAATAAGCAAATTGAGGAGAGAAAACATCAGCAAAGTTATAAACATTTTAACAGGCACCAATCTTAAGGAATGGCCACTAGTCCAACTAGATCATAAGATGTGGGGTGCAGAGAAAGGTGAGCCTAGAAAAACAGTCTAGGGCTGGAACATAGGTACTCTTTACAATCCTAATAAATCTGGAGTCTATAAAGTAGAGGATGAAGGATTACTAAAGTTTTTGAGTAGCAGAGTTCACAGTCTCTGTGAATCTAAAGATTATTTCTATGAAAGCCCTATAAAAGAGCATATAAATTTACCTGCTCATGTACACTTTTAAAGAGAGAATTCTATAACTCTCAGCAGATACATAAAGGCTCCTACAAATATGGCAACAATACTCAGTGGTGCAAATGGTAGCAACAATCAGTAGTCTGAGGTACTTCTACATATTTATTGTAGGGAATATAAGAAACATTTAAATGTTAATGATGTAAATAAAAAATATTCATCTGAGTGAATCAAAATGTTTTTCACATCTATGCAGAAAAAGTTGGATGCAGAGACTCAGTATAAATCAATAGTTATTAATAGCTCAGCTGTTTTTTTATTATCAGAATAACCTTACAAAACTGACTCTATGTTAAATAGATGCCAAATTCAAACTTAAAACAAACTATTTAATACATTGCCTTTACTGATTTATATTATATGTATTTGATAAATACAAATATTTATATAAATATGCTATGTAAAGGACCATGCTATAGTGTCAGGCCCTATAGCATGACACTAGAAAATGCTGTGACTCATAATGAGATGTAAAGGATACAATCATACTTAACACAAGTATACTTTTTATGAACAGAAATCTGAATTTCTAAGACTTTAATGAAAAGCCATTTCCTAAATCTGAAAGTTAAAACGGATCTCTTTTCCCTTCCAGTTTAAGATAGAAATGCTTTAAAGTAAACTCGAGAGAAAAATAGTAGCTACTAATATAAATGTTTTTGGACTTCAATTCTATATCTGTAAAATGGAAAGTTTGAACTATTCAGTCTTAAGGTCAAAAGTCTTTGATGCCTTAATTCATCATTTTAATAAATTTGTGTTTACCAGGTACCAGTCTCTGTGCCAGGTTTATTACCTTTGATGCCTTACAATGTAACATAGCAATCAGTTGAGAAGAAACACAGGGGTAGAAGAGATAGCTTGTTCTCTAAAACCTATTATTTGTTACAAAAGAATTTCACCAGTTCCTATACTATTTACCACAGAAGTGGAAACAAATTTAAACACTTCCCTAAGCTGTCATGTTTACTAAGCAGCCAACACTATATTTTCCTAAGTAAACAAAAAAATTTGCCTACTACAACTGAGAAAAAAAAAAAAAGAAAAATTATCAGGCCCAAGTGCTAGTAGAAATTATTAAACTATACTTCAAGGACTCATATTACTTTCCTACTATTGGATTTAGTTCTAATGAACACATAATAATAAGCTGCTCTCCCAAAGAACCAGGAGAGAAACAAGAATTATGTTCCTTCTTTATAATGCATTAGCTAGTCAATGGAAGTACCTTTAATCAAGTAGAAAAACGGTAATAATCATAATGTATCATGTATCTTAATATCCAAACCTTTTTGCTCTTCTAAGCTCTCAGTTCTTTTGGGGATAAGCTTCTATCTGGGTGAGAAGAAAAGGTATGCCAGGCTTAAGGAAAGAAAAAAGATTCAGTGGAAAACTGCTACTATTTTACACCTGGTGCTTAGAAGTCAATTCTCTTCCCTGCTCTCCAACATTACTATGCAATGAATTCAGCTAGGTGATTTCTACATAAAGTAATTTACCCTGAATACAAGCTAAAGATGGCAATTATTAGTCATAGTACTTGGATGCAGCTAACCAGCTTAGTCACCTTTGATAATAAATAACATCTTTGGTCCTCAGCTTCCTTCCCATTAACAGTCAGTCTAGAACAGCACTTTCCAAGCTCTGTTCCTGAGAACACTCAAAAGGTTTTCCAAAAAACCCAGCATTCAACAGAAAGTATGTACCATATATAATTATTTAACAAGCATATTAGGATATTCTAAAACTTTGATTAAAAAACTTATCTTCCTGTAATCCAGGATTTCAAATTTATTTTATAACAGAACCTCTTTTTACACTTAAAAAAAAACAAAAAACAAAAACAAACCAAAAAAAAATAAAAAAAAACTTTACAGAATTAATGTTCTATATACCACAACTTGGGAAAATAAATCTAAAAGAACTCTAAACCCTTTTAAAGTTATTTTCACCTATTTTTCAATTAATCAGGTAGGTTTACTTTGGGATAATATGTAAAAATAACTCTGTGCCATAAAAGACTTCCTAGTGAACACATTTATTCAAATGGGAATTTACCATTGTATCTCACCTCTTCCTTTTCTGATATCCAAACTCATCCAACTCTGGAAAATTTGAAACTATGACTATAAAGAAGGGGATAGTTAAGGATCTCTACAATGCTAAAGGAAGTAATATTAATTAAAGCACAGATTTACTGATTCCCTTCAATGGGCCAAACATCATGCTAGAGACCAGCAGAGAATTGGGATACATGGTCAATAACCCTAAAGTTCTTATCTATTAAGTGTTAAAGGCAAAATGATTAGCATAATATAAGACGTACAAAGATGGGGGCTCTAGACGGGCTCAGTGGCTCAGCCTGTAAACCCGCACCTTTGGGAGGCTGAGGTGAGTGGATGCCTGAGCCCGCGGGTTCGAGACCCGCATGGGCAACTTGGTGAGACCTCATCTGCACAATAAATCAAAAATTAGCCAGACGTGGTAGCTCGCGCCTGTAGTTCCGGCTACTCGGAAGGCTGAGGCGGAAGGATCGCCAGAGTCCAGCAGGTCGAGGCTGAGGTGGCCGGGAGCGGCCACTTGCACTCTAGTCTAGGCGACAGAGTGAGACTCCAACTCAAAAACAAAAAAAAGATGGGGGCTCTAAGAGAAGCATTAATGTAAACAATGTGCAATGAAACTCAGAGGAGCCCTGCACTTCTTTCTCAAGTAGATGATAAATTATTGAAACATAGTGTTGGGTTCCTTAAGGCATTTCTACAGTTCACAGGTTGAACATCCTTAATATGATATACAAAATGCTAAAAAATCTTAAACTTTTTGAAGCATTGTCATGATGCTCAAAAAAAATGCTCATTGGAACAGTTCAGATGTCAGATTTTCAGGTTAGGTACACTCAATCTGTATATGATTTATATGAGGATTACTTATTCCTTAAAGTTTTCACTTTTATCCTACAATGCTATTGGGTTTCAAAATGAAGAAATCTTGAGTTTAAAAACAATCAAAAGGAGATCTAAAAATGTGATTGTTAAACTACTGTTAGAAAGAAAAAAAAAGAAAACATTCCATTAAATGGCTAAACTTCTTTATTAACTAGCAATTAACATATTAATATCTAACTCAGTAAGGCTCTCAAGGCAGGTATAATCTTAAAGGGTTATTTTATAAAACCAATTCCATGGGGGTAAAAACCTCAATATAACTAGCATAGGAAGAGAGAAGAAGAATTTTTTTCAACCAGAAGTCACCCTCCCACCTCTTTCTGATCATATGCAAAAACTTATTTTTAAAGTACCAAATACAGGAAAAAATTTAATAGCTAAAAATATATTGCTATTTGAGCTAATCTCTAAATATTATCAAAGAATATATAAATATTCTTTTAGAACATAAAATCCTAATCACCTTAAGTTTCACATTAGATTTTTTTTTTTTTTTTTTTTTTTTTTGAGTTGGAGTCTAGTCTCACTTTGTCACCCAGACTGGAGTGCAGTGGCCACTCCAGGCCACCGCAGCCTCGACCTGCTGGGCTCCGGCAATCCTTCCGCCTCAGCCTTCCAAGTAGCCGGAACTACAGGCATGCGCTACCACGCCCGGCTGATTTTTTGATTTATTGTAGAGATGAGGTCTTGCTGGCCAGGCGGGTCTCGAATCCGCGGGCTCAGGCAATCCACTCACCTCAGCCTCCCAAAGGCACAGGATTACAGGCTGAGCCACCGAGCCAGGCTACATTTTTTAAAAAAGTAAATTGGTTACTAAATTTATTTCTGAACAGTTCATATTATTAATGGCTTCAAATTGTTGGACTAGGGCCACAAACTTTTCATGACATGTTTGGCCAGGCTACTGTTTACTTAAAAAAAATTTTTTTTCTTCTAAAATAGTTACACATTCACATATACTTAAAACTAGGTTTCAAACACATATCCATATATATACATGTCTATATGTAGTCACACATACACACTCCCAGAGTTTTATTCAAGAATAACTTAAGTTAAATCAACTGAACACACATCCTGTGGCTTTATTAAACAACACTGACAAATGCTTATGCTGTGACTGAAGAGAAAGATTCCAATGGAATTAAACAACTTTTATTAATCACAAACTCATATAGTCCAGAATACCCAAAGACTACAAGCCTCTTCAACATGAAGCCTAGAGTTCAACTACTATGTACACTACATAAAAGAGTTAACAAAAAAACCAAAAAAGAAACAGAAGAGTGAGCGAGATCAAGTAAACACAAGAGAAGAGAGTATGCAGGAGCATGCACAGTAAGATGGGGAGAGAAGCAGCAGCAGAGGAGGGAAGGAGAGGAGTTCATACTGCTAGTAAGAAGATGACAACCTTTTTTTCTTTCTTTTTTAAACTTTCCATATTTGTCTCCCTAAATGGAAATGCTACTTTACTTACACCTCTGCTCTGTTAACAAACACAATAAAATTATACCATGAAAAACTAGAAATGCTAATTGAACCACACAAAGTTGTATAATCCCATTACTTCTCATGCACAAATGTTATCCAGAAAACGATCTCTGTCCCAAAGAGAAAGAGGTCTTGGTCTAAACATTTGAATATTTTGTGGGGTTATAAACAACCCACAGGAGTTGACCCCAAAAATCTCTAAAAAAGATTCACTTACTTCATTAAAACCTCTAGAAGAGATTTGGGTAAAAATCCAGAGAGGAATTTTCCACAACCCTGCTGCTGAACAAGAACTTATTAACTTGAGCACACTCTACAAAGAAGCTGAAGACCATAGAGCAAGAGAGGGGAAAACAACAACAACAACAACAACAACAACAACGAACAGTTCATGAGTACCAGGACAGTTCATGAGTACCAGGCAATGCTTTCTCAAACACTGACCAGAAGAATTAACACTACTCTGTCTTCATTTCCTCTGTCTTTCAGGCACCCTGTTTCCATGGACTAAAATAAACAAGCATTTTCATACATCCTTCAATGACAAAATTTACTTATGAAAATTTTGTTAATTTACTATTAAGAACATACTTGTAAGCTATAAGTCACATTTTTCTACTTAAAAGGATGTCTCAGCACAGTAGCAATCTTCTAGTCTTAGGGATAAGTTGAAAAGTCGTAAGTATGAATAAAGTTTTTAAAGGTTAGCCTTAGTCTAGTCACTAAGCCTCCACGACAGATCTATCATTTAACTTTTCCACTCTACTGGGGAAGGGAGGACATTTTAGTAGGTCCAATAGTAATGGAGGGCAAACTTATGAGAAGTCTGCAAGGGCAAGTAAGCATTTGAAGACATCTCAAATTACACCATATTAGAGCACACCTATGCCTGTTTATTTTTGCTTTTCTAATATAGCACCTCTCTCTCTAAAAAATAAATCAACATTTCTATAAGGGGCAGAATTGCGGGAAAAACATATGACAAGAAAAAGCAAAAAGGAAAGAGCAATTATGACTTTAATATATACCAGATGCCTCATCCATATATATGATCTCCTTTAAGCCTCACATCAGCCTTTTAGGGTAAGTAAAACTATCATGAGTTGCCCAATTTGAAACCTGAAGTGCCACATGGTTAAGTGAGATGCTCAAAGTCACACAGCTAAAAGTTAGCTAATGAGATAGACTCCAAACCCAGGTCAGTCTAACTCCAAATTCCAAGGATTTTGTTGTGCCACAGTATATCTAAGTCAGTAGCAGTGAATCAGAAGACCTAAATTGTACAAACATTTCTCTGGAAACTAATTATAACTTGAGACCAGTCACTTACTTCTTCAGTACTTAATTTCCACATCTAAAAAATGAAGTAAATTACTATATTGCTTACTTTATAAAGTATCATCATGAGATTACTTATTGTGATTTTTTTTAGAGTCTACATGCCTAAAATAAAGTGTACTGGTTTCTCTTTCTACCCTGCTTTTCCCTAAATAGAAGGGAAAAAAAGACCACAGGACACCAGTAGCATTTATAAGAAGCCAAGTTCATTACTCTGTTGTTTTTAAAATAGAAGCTTTCCTGTCTAAAAATATAATCACTTCTTTCAGTTTCTAGTATCATCCTCAAAGCATCTACTATAGAGAGACAACACATTATGTAATAAGAAAGAGTCGCCTGTGTTGATAGAAAGGTTCAAAAATAATCCCTAATTCTTACTTGCAGTTCTGATTACCACATAACCATGATCTGTTTCTTGAAGAAACAACTAAATACACTCATACCAGGTGCCTCTCAACCATCTGTCACTGAACAAGAAGTCTTATAGGAACAAAGGTGGCTTGATAGGAATAGCAGTATATGCAGGCTAGTTTACTGATGACCCTAATTGTATCTATTTAGTAGAGTGATCCTAAGTTGGGGTTTGCCTAGCACAGTCCCAGTTTATGTAATTAACAGGATTCCCTTTAACCTTCAAAAGTGTTTCTGGGTACACAGCAAATGATATGGTCATCCGGCTATTAAAAAGGATAAATCATTCTCTTATATCAAGACAATAGTCAAAAACTGTAATAATGTGAAAAGAGGTAGACAAAGAACTGATATAAAATAAAATGAACTGTCTGAAAGAAGCTGAAAAGATAACACAAAAGCAAATAACAGTTAAATGTAAATTCAAGTCTTCTCACAAACCAAACAATATTACTATTAGCAATATTAGAATCAAACTGATACTTTTTTTGAGTCAACAGACCATAACAAAGGGAAACCATGAAGTAAAAGAGGGAAGAACACCAGTTCCTGTCCTTTTCCAAGGACTACGCCCTGCCTCCTGTTCAGACTCGGCTAAAGGTCTGCTCCCTCTAATGTTGCAAGAACAACCCAGGGACAGACACCATGTAGTGAACTAAACAGTGTCCCTCAAAAATTCATTTCTATTCAAACCTCAGAATGTAACCTTATCTGGAAATAGGGTCTTTGCAAGTATAATCAGTTAAATTGACAACATACTGAATTAGGGTGGGTCCTCAATTCAATGACTGGTATCCTTATAAAAAGAAAGAGAACACAAAGATACAGGGCTACGTGACAAAGTAGGCAGAGACTGAAGTGATGCAGCTACATGTTAAGAGATGTTATAGATTGCCAAGAGTCATCAGGAGCTAGAAAAAGGCAAGGATAATTCATCCCAAGAGGTAGCATTACCCTGGCTAACACCTTGATTTTCTGTTTCTAGCCTCCAGAACTATGAGAGAATAAATTTCTGTTTTGTTAAGCCAAGTCTGTGATAATTTGTCACAGCAGTCCTAGGAAACTAATTTCCACCTTATGTCAAATTATCCATTTTCATCTCTCAAGACTTTACCACTTATGAAAGTAATGAAGAGGTAATAAATAGTGGTCCATGAACAATGCTAGAACTACTGCATCCCAAATAAGGAGCATTCCACTGCCCATCCTGCAACCCTTTATTGAGCCCGTGAATACAAAAAGCATTTGCACCAAAGCTGAGCACCCCTTTCTCCATAGAGAGGAGGGGTATTAACTAGTTGTACCTCATCCTTCTTCTCCTGAATGCGTCGTCTCTCTGCCTCAATAGCCAGCTTCTCCTGAATTTCCTGAGCAATTTCACAGTCCTGTTGTTCACTAAAAAGTAAAGGTGAAAACGACATGAATAAAATAAAAAGTATTTCCTAAACATAATAAATACTATTTATTGAATACTCACTATGAGATAGGCATATTTTTACCTCAGTTAATCCTTAAGCTAAAGATGCAAAGAAGTTAATACTGTCGCATTTTAGAGATGAGAAAATAAGCCCAGAAAGTTAAGATCACAAAGAAAATACATGGCAGAAGTGAAATATAATCCCCACACACTATAATGAAAAGCTCCACTCTTCTTCTATACTTCCCTATCACTTCAACCTACTGGCCACTCCTCAGAAACACAAGCATGTTTTCTCAAGATTCTACAAAGGAGACATGGTCTATGAGATTAATGTCCACAAATACCCAAACTGAGAGTGTACAGAAAGTCTAGGAGCAAACTCACTAAAATGTCAATAATACTGTAGTCACCTAGAGGTGGTTGGTATGACTTTAAAATAATTTGTTAAATACTTTAATTAATTATCTGTATTTTTTCTGTTTCAATAATGAACAATAAAAAAATTACACTTAAAAATAGGGGAAAAAAATCAGTGTATATTTCCCAGCTTTGTTTTCCAGTAGAAGCCTCTCTAGCTGATGCCAGTATTACAACCAAGTGTTATAATACTGCTGCTACCACAGTTTTGGGAAGTTTTGTTTATTTGTATGGGTGTTTGTTTTTTGCATTCATGCATTCAATGAAATTTAAATGATACCTTCAGTGGGTCAAGCACCAAGGACACAAAAATGAGTAAATTTTCATTCTGCCCTCAGAAACTCACAGTATATTTTGGCAGGAGAAATAAGGGAAATCATCTTGGTAGGAGAAAGGAACCCTTAAAAACAGCACCTTTAAAGCAGCAGTTCCCACAGAAAAAAACAAATGGCTACAAAATTCATCCCTTAAGTGGAAAAGTCTTTTGGTTTCAAGTTTCAAGAAAAATCAACAGGCAGCTTAAAATTCCTGAAAGTGACAGCTCTGGGGAGTCAATCTTTTATACAAAGCTGTTAGAAAGGATACACAAAAATGTGCTTAGAGTTGACTATCTAAAAAGATGTTGGAATTAAATTGCAATTGTGATTTGTACATATAGTTTATCTGCTAAGCTTATATGTCTTCTCATTCTTCCACTGTCAACTGAACTTAAAATACTCAATGGGTCTCAAACTTGGCTGTATATTCCATGTTTAATGGCAGTCTTTTCGTAACTGAAAAGAATTGAGAGTAGGAAGAAGACACCAAATTCTTTAGAGGAATGAACTGAAATCTAAATATTCTAACAAAAGTAAAAAGATGAAAATTATTCTTGTTTGCTACTTTTAACATGTTTGGAAATATGGAGATGTAGACTCTTTTTTTTTAGAATTAGTAGGAAAAAAAATCACTGGATGAGAAGTCTGGTTTTGTCTCTACCACTGATAGCAATGGATAATGCTCGCTTAAAGCATTTTATCAGCTATGAAAAAATTTAGACTTAATGATTACAGATATAGGTCTGTTCTTATCCACCCAAACCAAAGAAATGAAAAACAAAAATCTAATCAGCAATTTCTATTTATACTTCTTCTCTTCATTCACTCACTTTTAGTAATTAAGAATTGCACACAAAATCACGATCTTAGTTTTCAAAGACTTCTCTACTGGACTTTCCAAATTAACGTGAAATCCGTACAGCAGTAAGTAACTACTAACTACAAGCAAAGTAATAATAAGTAGGAAGAAAGCAGAACAACAGCAGAGAAACAAACCCAAATGAAGTGCTAAAGGTCACAAATGACACAGATGTATCTCCGGGTACAGAAAATAAAGTGAAGATTCAGATGAGCTTAATGACTTCAAACCATTATTTCGGAAAGACAAGTTCCAATATAGTCAGCTAATTAGACTCCTGGGAAAGTACAACTGAGAAAGGAATAGCACACAATCGGTAAGACTGACTGTGGAGAGTGGACCTGGTACCTAGACAGAATAAATGGTTCCAGCTCATTAAAGACTTCATTTCATCTTTCCAATGATGGCCAGCTGTCAAGATTGCCAGGGAATGAAAACTGAAAGGCTTCCTTTCTAATTTACTAATTTCACTCAGGAACATTTACAAAATCTTGAAGTCCCAGGAAAAAATATAATACCCGGCTTTTCTCTCATTTAGGACCTATAAGATATCACTATCCAACCCCTGGTTTATATTTTACAGTGGTTTGTCTTGATAATCTCTGAATAACCTAATTATACTCACTATTATTACCCTAACTCAAGGTCTTTAACTTCTCTGTATCAACCTCAGAACTGGCCTTCCTAACACAAAATTGTGAATACTGTGAAGGATGATAATTTAGAACTCTAGAATATTCTAGCCTTGGTTCTCACCTTAACTTTGTAACCCTAAGCCTCAAAACATCTCAAATCTGTCTTTTTCTTTTTATATCTCTATTATCATTACCTTCAATTTAGGCCTTATCATCTCCCTCCTCTCTATATCTCTATCACCATTGTCCTCGTTCAAGTCTCATCATCTCTTGATTTGACCGTCACTCAATAGCTGCCTTCAATCTTGCCCCCTCCAAGCCTTACCCACTCAGTCCCCAGAGTAGGTCCCAAAATGAAAAGATAAAGCTCCTTCAATGGTTCTACTCCTTGTAAAATCTAGAAAACCTAAATTAATTCCTTAACATAACTTATGTGATCTGTTTTGTTCATTCTTTGACTACTTTTCTGGCCTCATCTCCTACTTACGTCCCTAAACATACCTCCACTCTAGCAATATTGGACTTCCTGCAGCTACCATGTGATTTCAGATCCTTTTACTTCCTACCCTTCTGCATGCTACTCCTTATAGCCAGAATGGTTTTCCCCAACTATGACTATAAACTCCTTTTTAATTTCAGTTTCAAATTAAACATCTTGTGAAGTTTTTCTCAGTCTCATCTCTCTTCATAGGCATGAAATCTATAATTCAACTTTCTGTGACTCATGTATGTATTTTTAGATATGTAATGTTCTGGGTATTTTCTGAGGCCCTTAAAGGCAATGGCTATGTTTTATTCATATCTCTGGTCTTTGGTGCTTTTCATGGTGCCAGATTTAGCATGAATCAATACAAGTGTTTATTTACAAAACAAAGAAGCTTAAAAAAAAATAAGTAAGGTCCTCTCTACACATAGTAAACAGAAAGATAAACCCTTCCTCAAAGGCAGCAAAGATGACTGGCTTTCCTGTTTTACTTAAACATGACACTAAAGTAAATTAAGGGGTCCCTTCATGTCTCTCTTTACTTTTTCCTATTCAACAATATCTGTGGTTAAATGTACCCTTAGATATTTGGGTTATAAGAGCCATTTTCAAAGAAGAAATATACTCCAGGAGTTTTAAAACACTGAAAAAAACTAAACTGTGCTAAAAGAAACCTTAGGAAAGATCGTTTACATCTATTTAGCTATTAAAGGCAGATACTGAGAGATAACTTTTGTCATCCACTGAAATGATGAAGAAAACTGAATAGATATCTCTGAGTTTTCCACAACATTCTGCTGTTTATTGAAAAACAAGAAACTGAAGGAAAATAAGAACAGCAAACACATCAAGGAAACAGCAAAGGAACCCAATACAATTCATAAATTTAATTGATACCCAGTATTTCACTGGATCCCCTAACAAATCATGAGGCAGAGGGAACAGAGATTATTTTCTTCATGTTATAAGTAAGGAAAATAAACTCAGGAAGGTTGAACAACTGGCTCAAAATCACACAGCTAAAAGTGTTAGAGTTCAAACCATAATGCACGTGTCCCAAAACTTAATCAAGTTTTACAACAACAAAGAAAATGTTTCAAAGTAAAGAAAACTATTGGGATTGGGCACAGTGGTTCATGCCTATAATCCCAGCATTTTGGGAAGCCAGGGTGGGAAAACTGCTTTAGGCCAGGAATTTGAGACCAGCCCGGCAACATAGCAAAACCCCATCTCTACAAATAAAAAATAAAAAAGAAACTATTTGGGCATGTCTCTACAGAAAATTTAAAAATAAATGAATTAGCCAGGTGCAGTGGCATATATTTGTAATCTCAGCTATACAGGATACTGAGGCAGAAGGAACTTTTGAGCCCAGGAGATAGCTTGGGGTAACAATTAACTATGACTGTGCCACCATACTCCAGCCTGGGTAAAAGAGTGAAACAAGAAAGAAAGAAAAAAATAATAAAAAAAGAAAGAAAACAACTGGATACCCATGATATGATTAGTAATCTAACAGTAAAAAAAATCATGTCTCCTTCTCCCAAGTCCTGGTTGCTGACTCCACAAAGAAAACCACTCCTAATGTTACTCCCTCCCACCACCTAAATCCTCACAGGTCTTTGTAGCGCTTCTGTAGCTGAGCTTGGGCTTTCAGATCTTCCTCTTGGAGCTGCTTAGCCACCTGGAGATCATGCTGGACCAATCGGTTCCGCTGAATGTTTGATGCCAAATGATGCTCGACTAGAACAGAAAGATACGCGAGAGGCATTACAATGCTTTGGCTTGTTCGTAATAAATTTCATAATAAACTTAAGAAGAGCTTTACTATTAAAAAGAGTTTTACATCTATCACTTCATTTTACGCTCCCAATAACACTGTATAATAAATAGGCAGCACAGAAATTATTATTCCCATTTTTCCATTAAGTAAAAAGAGAATCAAAAAGATTAAGTAATTTGCCTTTGGTCACAAGGTAAAAAGTAGAAGTGGCAGAACTTCTACATAAATATTCTAGTACCAAGGCCAGTGTTCTTTCTACTACCACATGTTGCCACTCCATTTATTAATTGCATTTTTAAATATTTAATTTTTATGTACACACATGAATTAATATTCAAAAATCACATACTCACAAAAATGTACTTTTATATAACACACATAATGTAGATTTCCTTTCCATCAGGATGCTGTATAAAAATTTTAAAATCTACCATGTGACCTCATTTAGATACCATGGTCACTTGAAAAAGGTGTTCATGTCCCTATCATAGGGGCAAGAATAAATTCCTATGCTAGCCCTTCTACGCACTCCAGATATACTACAACCACTGTCTCCCTACTACAACACTAACGCAAGAGAAAAAGCTCAAGTCACTCTTTTCCTCCTCTAGACCCAGCAGTCTTCTAATTTTGGCAACCATCCTACCTAAAAACACCAAAAACTTCATTCTTTACCCAGGTATCCTTTGCCTAAACGAATCATTCAGGATGAATGGATAGTGTAGCCAGGTGACCGTTTTCCCTCCCTACCTCTCCCTAAGAAATCAGCCTCAAGCTACCACTAAAAAAAGAAAACTGAAGAAGCATGTGTGAGAACCATTACTCACTCTCTTGTTCCTGCAGGCTATGAGCCAGGGTGTGGTCCTCCAAGACAGCAAAATCTCGACACACTGCAGAAAATAAAGGAGAAAAAGAAGATAGGCTCATTAGGAGTACCTTACATACAAAGAAAATAAGTTCATTTACTTCAAAAAATTAATTATAATATTTTAGGATAATCAACTTTGTAACTTGCAATGCATTAAACAGTGACTAGGTAAGCATGAAGTCTTTATTCATTTATAAAAATCTACATAATGCCTGCTCAGTGTCAAGCACAGAGTATCACAAAATAATGGTGGATGCTGTACAAGACTTTTTTGTCATTTTTCCCTGAACAAAACAGTACAATAGCTACTTACATTGTACTAAGTATTATAAGTAATCTAGAAATGACTTAAAGTATATGGTAGTATGTGCATAGGTTACATGTAAATACAACACCATTTTATATAAGGGAATCCATGGATTTTGAAATCTGCAGGAAATCTTAGAAGCAATACTCCACAGATACCAAGGAACGACTATATAGCACACATAGTACAGAAAACTATGACTTGCGGAAACTATTTTTCAATATTGCATAATCACATATCACAGAAATATAAATGTAAATGGTATTACTAGGTCAAAATGTAAATCATATATAATTCCGTAGATTACAGTCAAAAAGTTTAAAAGCTACTTCAATTTATGTTATTAGGCCAGGAAATTATGTCAAAAATACATTTTATGTTTTTGATGTCATACTGACTAAATAAAAATTTTAAAATTATTACCTTTTTAAATGTGGAAAATCATGTGAAGAACCTCAATGTTTGTGTTTTTTATTTTAGTCAGCATAACACTAAAAACATAAATAAACTGTTTATGGAGAGGTACATCTGTAGCAAAAATATATTTTTAAACATATGACACTGACAGAAACTGAATTCAGAACAGTGGTTATCTCTAGACTAAAGAGAAAAGGGGTATGAGCGCCTTGGCTGTACATGCTGTTCTACCACTTCAAAAACAAAAAGAGAAAAAAACTGATGCAATTAAGACTTATTAGCATTTACTTAATGTGGGTGATAGGTTCCTGGGTGTTTTTATTTTCTGTGCTTTTGGTCTTAATTTAAATATTACATTTATGCATTTTTAAACTCACTTGTATCATCGTGTCAACAGCATATATTGACTGCTAAACCACAAACACAAAGACAATTTGACACATCATAAGTTATGAGGAATTTATGAATTAGTGATTACCTTAATAACTCCTCATAATGATTTTTAATATCTATATTGCAATATTAAAGTATGTTTGATTATTGTGACTAGACCCTGAATCTTCTTAGTACAAAAACTGAATCTGTACCCACAAGATATGAGCAAGGTCTGAACCAGAAAAGAATCCTGAAGATCTTCAAGGACTATAAAGCAGTACACATACACATACATACAGAGTAGTGCTGTCAAATACAATAATTTAGCTTTTCAGAGTTTACTAAGAGCTTCCAAATATAATGTCATTTATACTAAAATATTATTTGCCTAATCTACAATTTCTCTTCTAAATCCACCGTAAAGTCTCTCAAAATCTGCCTCGACACTCCCTGCATCAGTATTTTAAAGCAACTGGGAAAACAGTCACACAGTCAACACATTGGTAAATCAGTAACCAGATCTGGAACTATAGAAAATATTTCACAGCTAGGCTAAGTACAGAGTTTGGGTGGAACTCTGTTCCTTCTCTAACCTACTCTACTTTTAAGTAAACAGTATACACCATGTACTGAGGATGAGCAGCATAAACTCATCTCACCACTTTTCCCTGCAGGTACATTAAAGGTGAACCATTGGAACCTGGGCTTTCACCTCTCCTCTTCTAACCTTTTCCCTACCGTGTTTAATTTCACTAGCCCAGAACTCAAGCTGACGTTCTTGACATAAGCCAGCCCCACTGATGTCTTCTACTGTTCCTAGCTTGTACTAAAATAAGCTCCCCACCATAGTCAATTCCACAACTATTCTCTTTCATTTCCACACAGTCCTCAATAGCCCTGTATCCTCTCCCCTCTGCCCAAGCATGTTATTAAAGTTAGAGAATGGTGGCTCAGTCTCTCGTAAACACTAAAAACTAGGCAATTCTGCCTCCTTTCTTAGAAGAGCATCAATAGAAAGAAATGGATTTTGCCCTTAAACTTGAGTACACAGCTGCTTCCCCAACCAGTTGCAAGACTCTTCAGGGCAGAGACTTTGTGGCGGTACTCTCTGTACCTTTCACACAATAAGAACAGGATACAGCATATAATAAAATTTCAGGAAATGCTCATTAACTGAAAGAAGTAAAGAAAAACTGGTCAATAAAGTCAACAGTAAGAACTCCAAAGAGAAACAATGTCATAAACAGAACGAAGTTTTGCTGTTTTGACTATATAACTTGTAGACTTTGTCAAGTATTAGTAAATTATTAATTTGTTAATATAATAAATAAATAAATCACATAAAACTAGAGCCCTCTCATCATTCTCATTAACAGAGTTCTAACGATATGTTAACCCAAAGTAAAACGCAAAGATATTGCAGGTTTGGTTTCAGACCACTGCAATAAAGTGAGGCACAGAAATCTTTTGTTTTCCCAGTGCATATAAGAGTTATCTTTATAATACACTGTAGTCTATTAAGTGTTCAATTGTATGCAGTCTAAAAACAAAGCAAGGTACATACCTTAGTTAAAATATATTTTGTTGCTAAAAAAATGCTAACAATCATCTGAGCCTTCAGCATCTTTCTGCCGGTGGAGGATCTTGGCCTCCAAGTTGTTGGCTGCTAACTAATGAGGATGGTAAATGCTGACAGTTGGGGTGGCGATGGCAATTTTTTAAGACAACAGAGAAGTCTCCCGTATCAATTGACTCTTCCTTTAACAAAAGATTGCTCTGTAGCACGTGAAGCTGTTTGACAGCATTTTACCTACAGTGGAACTTCTTTCAAAATTGGAGTCAATCCTCCCAAACCCTGCTGCTGCCTTATCAATTAAATTTCTGTAATATTCTAAATCCTTTGTTATCATTGCAACAATTTTCACAGCATTTGCACCAGTAGATTTCACCTTAAGAAACCACTTTTTTGCTCATCCACAAGTAAGGTTTTATCCACCAAATCATCAAGAGATTACATCAATTTAGACAGATCTCTAAGCTCCTCTTTTAATTATAATTCTCTTGCTATTTTTACCACATCTACAGTTATTTCCTCCACTGAAGTCATGAGCCTCTCCAAGTCAGTTATGAAGGCTGGAATCAACTTCTTCCAAATTCCTGTTTATGTTGACATTTTGACCTCCTCCTATAAATCATAAATGTTCCTAGTGTTATTTAGAATGGTGGATTTATTCCAGAAGGTCTTCAATTTACTTTGCCCAGATCCATCAGAGAAATCACTAGCTATAGCCTCACAAAATGTATATCTTAAATAATCAGACTTGAAAATCTAAACTACTCCTTGATCCACAGGCTACAGAATGAATGTTGTGTTAGCCAGCACGAAAACATCATTTATCTCCTGATATATCTCCATCAGCGCTCTTGGATGACTTGGTACATTGTCGATGATTAGTAATATTTTGAAAGAAATCCTTTTTTTCTGAACAGTAGGTCTCAACGGTGAGTTTAAAATACTTGCTGAACCCTGCTATAAACAGATGCTATCATCCAGTCTTTGTTGCTCCACTTACAGAGAACAGGTAGATGCATTAAGCAAAATTCTTAAGTGCACTAAGTTTTTCTGTATGGTAAATGAGCACTCATTTCAACTTAAAGTCACCAGCTGCACTAGTCCCTATCAAGAGAACCAGCCTGTCCTTTGAAACTGTGAAGGTAGGCATTGACGTCTCCTCTCTTGCTATGAAAGTCTTAGATGGCATCTTCTTCCAACAGAAGACTGCTTAATCCACACTGAAAATATCTGTTGTTTAGAGCAGCAATTATATTAGCCACATCTTCTGGAAAACTTGTTGCACCTTCTACATCAGCACTTGCTGTTTCACTGTTCTTTACATTATGGAGATGGCTTCCTTTCTCAAACCTCAGGAACCAACCTCTGTTAGCTTTCAACTTTTTTCTTCAGCTTCCTACCTCTCTCAGCCTTCATAAAATTAAAAGTTAGGGCCTTGCTCTGGATGAAGCTTTGTCCATAGAATGTTGTGGCTGGTTTGATCTTCTATCCAGACAACTAAATCTTTCTTCATATCAGCAATGAGTCTGTTTCACTTTCTCATAATTCATGTACTCCTTGGAGTGGCACTTTTAATTTCCTTTAAAAACTTTTTCTGTGCACACACAACTTGGTTTTTTGGTGCAAGAGGCCTAACTTTCAACCTATCTCAGCCTTCAATACACCTTCCTCACTAAATTTAAACATTTCTAGCTTTTGATTGAAAGTGAAAGATGTGACTCTTCCTTTGGGCAGTCAGGGGTTATTGTAGTTATTTCAATACAGTTGTGTCTTAGAGAAAAGGGAGGCCCAAAGAGAAGAAGAGAGCCTGGGAAACAGCTGGTCAGTGGAGCAATCAAAGCACATACAAAACTGAATCCAGTGTTCACTATTTTATATGCCACGCCAAAACAATTACAATAGCAACATCAAAGATCACTGATCACGACAACAGATATAATAATAATGAAAAAGCTTAAAATATTATGAAGCCAGGCACAATGGCTCATGCTAGCACCCAGCACCTTGGGAGACCAAGATGACAGGATTGCTTGAGCCCAGGAGTTCAAGAGTAGCTTGGGTAATATAGCAAGACCTCGTATCTACAAAAAAAATCAAAAAATTAGCCAGGTGGAATGGCATGTGCCTGTAATCCCAGCTACTCAGGAGGCTGAGGCGGAAGGATCACCTGAGTCTAGGCTGTCGAGGCTACAGTGAGCTGTGACTGTGCCACTACATTCCAGCCTGTGCAACAGAGTGAAACCCTAACTCAAAAAATTAATTAAAATATTATAAGAATTTCCAAAATGTGACAAAGAGACAAGAACCTAGCACATGCTGTTCGAAAAATAGCATCAACAGGCTTGCTGAT